ACCGAAGATTCAGTGGTGAAACAACACTTAGAAAATTTTCTAGGTCCTAAACAACTGACAACTCAAGCATCAAAGTACGAGGGCATTCATTCACAAGGTAGATTCGAAGGCATTCATTTCATAAAGAAAAAACGAAGGCATACATTCAAAAGGAAAAGCAGATTATATGCAAAAAGCCCGAAGGCATCCATTCATCAATTCACAAAAATAAAAGGCAGATTGTTATACATAAAGGCTGAAGCCGAAATATTGTACATATTCATTACAAAAGATATGTTCGGAATTATACAAAAATAGGATTATCATAAGCTCCAGCAGCTCCCCCCTCGGCAGGTTTCGAGGAGACATCCCCTTCGGCCTCTTCTTCATCCTCGGACCCCCCATCATCATGCTATCCTCAATTATCGGCCTCTCCTTGCCCGGAGGAAGGGGAACTCTCACATCCGGCTGCAGGGGGGAAGATTGTACGCTGCCAGATCAAATTGTTCAAGGGGAATGCCGAAGTGCCTGGCGAGCCTCCGGTAGATCAGATGCTGGGTGAAGAATTCGCCTCCCTGATAGAAGGAATCGCCCTTCTCGGCTAGCCACATCTTCCCGGGGCCTTTGACCCAAGCATCAACGCCTTTTTCCACCACCGAGGACACCCAATCCTTCCTCCCCTCAGCGGTCCAGCCCCCGGCAACGAAGTTCTCGACTGCAGACTTCTCGGCAGCAGCCACCGCTTCGGCCTTGGCCCTCTCGGCCTCCTCGGCAGCTTCCTTCACAGCCTCGACATCAATCCTCTCAGATTCGGCCTTGGCCTCCTCCACTGCAAATTTCAGTCTCGGCTCTGCATCCTCGGAAGCCTGCCGGAGGGCCTCCTCCAGCCTGCACATCTCCCGAAGGGCAGCATCCTTGTCGCGGATGAGCCTCTTCAGGGACTCCTCTTGTCGGGCCTTCTGGAGGCGCCACTCCTCAAGCCTTCGGGCCTGTTCCCCGAGGGCTATGCAAGCCTGCGAACAACAAACGAATAAGTTAGATTGTCATTCAAAAGGCGCTAAGTGGGTAAAAGAAGAGGAAGGAAACGAGTTTATAGTCAGGGAGGACCATAGGATCTTGTTCTCAAGGGCGGCATCGTCATACTTACCGAGGGCCACCCTATCCAACTCCGAAGTCATGCCAAGGAGGAATGCCTTCGGCTCAACGGTGCCATGCATCACGGCGGTCCCCTTGACGAGGGAGAGCTGTAAGGTCTCCTGAGGGACATTCCCCAAAGGGAGGCCGGAGGAGGCCGTTGGCATAGTCTTGGCTGGAGGCTCGGAAGAGGATTGCTCCTCGATGATCACCAGGGGCCATCCCCTTCCTTCTTCTGCTTTTTGGCCGGAGGGCTCGTCACCTTCCCGGGCTTCTTTTTCTTCATGGCCGCATCGGCCTGAGAACCCCCAGCCACACCAGCAGTCGCGACAGCTGCAGAAGGGTCCATCACATCTTTCTAGAAGAAGGCATCAACGGGTTGTTGGCCCTAAGGTTCCTTCTTTTTGGCCTGGGCCTTCCCCTTCTTCTTCTTCAAAGCAAAGAGGGCGTTTGGGTCCATGCTAGTACCTGCAAAAGAACGAGGACGGGTTAGGCCGAAGGGTCAAAGGCGTCAACAAATATCAAAGTGCAAAGAATTCCTAAGTACAAAACATTAAGGCCCTCGGTAGCTACCTCCTATTTCCTCGAAGGCTTTGTCAATAAGGGGGTATTTCTCATCCGTTTCCCCCAAGAAGCGGTAGCGCTGAAAGCCGAGGAGATACAGGTCATCCTCCAGGGTCATCTCCTTGACCCGCCCGTCACATGCTTATCCCGCCCCGCCGGGACAACATATATCTTTTTCCCCTCCTTATCAAGAGCCACACAACCCTCCAGCTTTATGTGCCTCCGGAAGTAATTCCTCAGCTCCCTCGGAAATGGGTTCTCTGCCATCCTGATGTAGCAGAAGCGATCTCTCAAGCCCTTGTGAGACGAGGGCACGTCATCGAAGAGCCTCCACGGGGAGAGTTGTTGCAGGTTCGCGAACCCCTCAGAATTCGCATGGCCCCCCGAAAGAGATTGAAGCTTTGAAAAAATAACTCCAGGCTGGGAGTGCCCCCCGGGACTTACAGAGATTCAGAAACCCGGCAATATAGGACTGGCTATTCGAAGTAAGTTGGCAGGGGGCCAGGCCAACGTACCTAAGGTACTCCAAGAGGAAAGGATGCAATGGGAACCGAAGGCCCATCGAGTCGGAGAGGATATGCACAACAAAGCACCCCTCAGGCGCCCGGGACAGCACGTCGTCAGGCCCCGGTTGTACCACCGTCATCGAAGGCCCTACGTGCAGCTGTGTGACATAGCACTCGGCCGGGTTGGATCTGGAACTCACCGCCAAGGCAGAAGTATTCAACCACGAATACCCCTCGGGAATCCTAACCGGTTTGCCTTGGTCGGCAACACCTTTCTTCTTGGGAGCTCCCGCCTTCTTCGTCTTCTTCTTCCTGGGGGCTACCCTGAGAGGTGTTGGGTTCAAGGGCCGGGAGGTGCTGGCTTCACCAGCATTGCGTGCAGGGAGGACGGCGACGATAACCTTCATCCTCTCCCTTTTCTCCTCCTGCTCAGCGACTTGAACGGCGAGGGCCATCTCCTCATCTTCGATCACCTGTTCGAAGTCCTCAGCTTCGGCCTCGACGACGAGGTCTTTCTGTACCTCCATGGCCATCACAACGTCATTCTCGGCCGAGGGCTGCGCACTTGAAGACTCCACATCAGAAATACTTTCCTCTTCCATCGAAGGCTCCCTCGATATGTTTTGAGAATCGCTTTGCGAAGGCATCCTCGAGAACTAAGGGGATGAGGGGTTCTAGAAACCGAAGGCTCCCTAAACAACTCTAGCACTTAGCCTAAGGGCGAAAATATGCTAAGGGACTCGAGAACAGGAGAAGCAACTGACCTTGAGAAGTGAGGATGGGATCGAAGGGCTGTTTCTCTCAAGAAAAAATCCGGCAGAGCTTCGATACAGTATGATCGCACAAGGAAAATGGCCTTGGCCTTGGGGTGTTTATAGGCACCCAAATCCGGGCTTGGGCCCAAAACCGGGCCTCCGGTTACGAAGGCCATCATTACATGCCGTCCCTTCCACCAACCGGTGATGCCCGCCCAAAGCTAGCCAACAGCCACGCGCCACGCAGAAGTCCTCTCCAATGGCTACTTTTTAAATGTTCCATGTGCCAACGGTCTGATTGCAACGGCTATATTTTGAGATCACAGATGTGCTCCCGGCCTGTACCCCTCATGCTACATCACAAGTGCCTTCGGGATTTCTTCTTCAGAAGCCAATGGCTTAACAACGAGCTTACCCCTCGGGAACCCTCAGCCCTCAACGTATTGAAGGCCAAGAAACCCTGGGGGGGAGCACACACCTTCATCAACTGTCGGCCCGCGGCTACGCAATAAGGAGACTCCTCGGGAACATCAAACTTAAAACCCCTTTTAGGTGAACAACCTTCGACATACAACAACGGACCCCTCGGTTGCCCTCATCCCCAACTTGTCAACAGCTAGAGAATCCCCCCGGCAACGCAGCACTACCACTTACGCCCTCAACCCCATGGATTGAGGGACTCCCCTTCGGCATCTCCCAGGATATTTAAGGGCAGCCTTCGGCATCAACTTTGTCCTTCATCTCAGACCAAGGTTTCACCTTTTCGAGTCATCATTGGGGGGAATTCGGTGCAATCTTTTTCCCTCAGTAGGATTTTTTCCCACACGGTTTTTCCTAATGAGGTTTTTAACGAGGCATCCCCCAAAAATGAAACGAAAAGTGTCAACCTTCGGCCCCATGCGACAGCGGGCACTACTCTACTCCTCTTCACCACATTACATGTGCCTCAAGGGGTGGGGGACTGGAGGACCCCTTCGGGAAAAATCACCAAAATGCAAAATGTCAAAAATCTCCCCAAAGCAGCAACATAACCCTTCTGTCCCAAGGTATGGGGGACTGAAGGGATGCCCCCGACAGAATCATGTGCAAACGCAGATCTCTCACAGGTTTACAAGCTACAAGCAAGACAACATCAGAGGACAACCGCAATTACTCCTTTTCCCTCAAGTACCTTTCGGCAAAAGGAGTGAGGGACTCCCGATGGAGTATATGGCCCAGGAACCCCCGACCCATAGACTCCCACTACTGTAGCAGAGGCCCAATAGGCCCAAGAAGCACAACAGGCCCAAATCACAGCGCCTCAAGTGCCAAGCAGCCCACGACGAACACTGGGGTGCCTTCACCCCCTGGCCGAAGGCTCATAAACTTACAGTACAACTTCTTTACAGCCCTCAAAGTGTCTGGGAGAAAGCGGCAAAAACAGTAGCCCTCGGCACCTAGAGCCCTCGGCACCTAGAGGCCCCCGGTATGAAGAGCCTTCGGCCAATCATCTACGGCCGAAGGCATCTTCTTGACAGAATTTCCCACCCACATGCGCTGGATCAACGTACTGAGTACAAACGTCACATCCAACCACCGCATTTAATGCGGCCACATGCGAGTGCCAGTGCCACCCCGTTGAGGTGACCCCTCGACCACCAGAATGATGACACATGTCCCTATCTGGCATTTATTACTACTATAAATAGCATCCCTTTTCCCCATTTGTAATTCATGCTCAATACGCTCAACACATTCTCAGCAATATATATTCTCTCTCTTACTTCTGCTATGACTTCTGTCTAGATACTCCCCGCAGTAACCCCTCGGATAGATACCCCCCGGGTACACTTATCCATCAACTATTATTATTATTATTATTATTATTATTATTGTTGTTGTTGTTGTTGTTGTTATTATTGTTATTGTTATTATTGTTGTTGTTGTTATTATTATTATTGTTGTTGTTGTTGTCATTGTCATCATCATCATCATCATCATCATCATCATCATCATCATCATCATCATCATCATCATCATCATCATCATCATCATCGTTGTTATTATTATTATTATAAAAGTCCTTGGCCACATTGATCAATTAAGTCTTCTTCTTAAATGAGAGATGAATATATAAAGGATGTACTCCGTCATTTTGGTCGTTATTCAAACTTCTTCATTGACGCAGTGATATATATAAGCATATATATAACACACACAGTATATACACATAAACTACGTACGTAGGGAGCAGCAAGTGAGAGAGATCATTGTTACAGTATTATATATAAAATGGGTACATATATGATATCATCTATATATGATATCTTTAATTGTCCCATGCATATTATTTATATACTACACATACACACCTATACACAGATAGTAGCTGGCTATATAGCATATCAGCTAGCGAGCTGCTAAGTCTTATTCATCATGAGCGCGCCGGCCACTTCAAATGCCAACACTCCGCTTATTATATTATGCATCATCTATCTCCGCTGCTAGCTACGTACCTTCATATTAATCTGAAAAATTCAAGTCGTATATATACGTACAATATAATCATCATCATCACATCACATGCATGTAATCAAAATTATCTGAATAAATCATACGTGTCAAATAATAATACCATTACTTTATTTTCAAAATAAGATCTTAAAGAGATTGTTCAAAGTAGGAGTAAAAGACATCGACACAGTTTGAATTTTGAACGTAGAATTAAGTATGTTTTATTTTCAAAGTAAGACTTAATTTTTCCTATTAAAAAAATAAAAACAAAACTTTTCAAAATAAGGCTTAGAGCCCATTTTGTGACTCTGTTTTTTGACTTATCAGTCAATTTTTTAACCAAACACGTAACGTTTGACTTTGCACGTTCAATTGTGTAATAATAAGAAAAATCAAGGTTGTTGAAGTTACTTTTCTGGATGTATTGACTAAAGTTACTCTAGATAGATGACTATTTTAGCTATTTTTTCATATGATTTTTTCTTTATTTTATTAATAATATAATTTTTTCACAAATCAATGGAATCAGCCACTTCAGTCAGAATTTTATAAATTTCAGCAGAATCAACCGTTTTTAGTGTTACCTAACGGACTCCTAATGAGTCAAGTTTTGAGAAGAAAATAATAATATAATGACACGAGAAAATTAATGTTTACGTCGAATGTGTATATGAGCCTTATTTTTTGAAATATTTCCAAATATGACTTACTTTGAGCCCGCATGGCAGTTTGTTTTACCTGGATCAGCTAGGGCATGGGGCTGGTATGTTTGCCGGGGGCGGGGGCGGGGGCGGGGGTAGGCTTATGCTTATGATGTTTTTGATCTGGTCCACCTGGGGCAGATCTATCGGGATAATATATGCCACCGGCCGATTGCCGCCCCCGTTGGTGCAGGAGGGACGGCGACGACAACCTTGTTTTATATTCTTCAAGAATCTTAGAGAGGTCGAGGTTAAGAATGTTTTCATCGTCATTCATGCCTGCCGCCGCCTGGGAGAGCAATAAGCACATCAACAATACACACACTGGTAGTGATTTTGAGCTAGCAGGGATAATAGATATATTGTACTTTCCCATTTTGTTGACGATAGATTAATTAAGCTTTAAAGTAAGTGGATTGGGTCTCAGGTTTTGTGGATGTAATATAATCAAATGACCAGCCCATTGCCTATTTATAGAGCGGATGCCAAGTCCGTACAATGTCCGTCAATATTAAATACTTCGTATATATGAGCGTGTATAATCACCTCCTTTTTTGCGATTATTGTTGGGGAGAATTGCCAAATGTGATCATGACTAAATGAGACTAAATGGAATTTTAATTGCCAAAATGTGATCATGACTTAAAAATTCTTTTAATAGGATTAACTTTCCAATTCTATCCTTTCTTTGTTTTAATACAATTCATATTTCATTAATAATTAAAAGATAAAAGTAATAACATAATTTTATTTATAATAAAAATGTAAAAAAAATAAAAAAACACGAAATAAATATTAAATAAAGTTAATAAAAGTCAAAAATTCGAAAAATAAAAATTTATAAAATAAAAACTTAAAAAATCAAAGTAAAAAAATGAAAAAAATATTAAAAAAATATGTAGGCCTATGCTGCCACCTCAGCAACCTCCCAGCACCTCTAGCTCCGATCACCGAAAAATGCCAAAATTTGTACGAAATGCCAAAATTTGAGAAAATTTTGACATTTTCAAAGAGTAAAAATGCTATCTTCATGGCATTTTCAGAGAAAAAATGGCACTTTTTACACAAAATGACATTTTTTTAGCCGAATAGACGTAACTTGGCTGGGTAGTAGCCAAGACTGTGGGAGAGGTCCCCATATTTTTTTTATATTACTTAAGGTGTTTTATCTATTTTTTATTTATTTTAAAGTTTTTTATTTTTAAAAAATGATTTTTCTTAAATTTTTATTATTTTAGTATTTTTTAAAAAAAATTGAGATTTTTTAATAATTTTTTACGATTTTTGTAAAAATTAAATTATTTTTTATTGTTTTTTGTGTTTATTACAAATAAAATATGATTATCCTATTAAGTTATGGTAAGGGTATTGTTGGGTTAATGGCCCAACAATGGCTGACCCATCAATCCATAAGGGCCTCCTACGAACGTCCCCAGAAGGCCCACAAGGATCTCCTCCGAACGTCCTGCTGAAAGCCCAAGAGGAAGGCCATGCTTCATGCCCAAGGGTCAGGGGACGTACGTATCCTACTACCAGCAGGTACCAAGTCCCAAGAGTCAGGAGACATACGTACCCTACTGCCAGCAGGCACCAAGGCCCAAGGGTCAGGAGACGTACGTACTCCATTGTCAGCAGGCACCAAGGTCCAAGGGTCAGGAGACATACGTACTCCATTGTCAGCTAGCACCAAGGCCCAAGGGTCAGGAGACGTACGTATAAAATAAAAATCTTAAAAAAATTTAAGTAAAAAAATGAAAAAATCTTAAAAAAATATGTAGTCCTATGCCCCACCTTAGCAACCTCCAAGCACCTCTAGCCCCGATCACCGAAAAATGCCAAAATTTGTATGAAATGCCATCTTGATGGCAGTTTTCGAGAAAATTTTGACATTTTCAAAGAGTAAAAATGTTGTCTTCATGACATCTTCAAAGAAAAAATGACAGTTTTTATACAAAATGACATTTTTAAGCCAAATAAATGTAACTTGGCTGGGCAGTAGCCGAGATTCTGGGAGAGGTCCCCATATATTTTTATATTTTTTAAAGTGTTTAATCTTTTTTTTTATTTTAAAGTTCTTTATAAAAAAAATTCTTAAATATTTATTATTTTAGTATTTTTTAAAAATATTTGAGATTTTTTTTATATGTTTTTACGATTTTTGTATAAATTAAATTATTTTTATTGTTTTTTGTGTTTATTACAAATAAAATATGATAATCCTTTTAAGTTACGGTAAGGGTATAATAGGTAGATATGGTATACTTTAGTCCTGTTTGTGCATTTAGGGATTAGTTTAGTCTTATTTAGGGCTATTATCTCTTATTGTTGGTGTAAGTCTCTCAATATTCTCAATAGTGTAGGGGTGTACTGCATGAAGTTATAGTGGTAAATTTTTAAGAGTTTAAAATTGATTTTAAAAATTTGGGACCAGTCCGAGACAGGGATCGTCGGGTCATCAACCAGATCGGACAGGGACTGTCGGGTCATCGACTGGCCTGGATCAAGACGTACTACCAGGCCATCGACCAGCCCAAATTTGAGAACTGAGTGGGAACGAATCGGGACTGCCCGATCGTCAGACAGACCGGAACCGAGACCAGAGTGAGACCAGACCGGAGCGGTACCGGGTCCATCACTAGGCATAAGTAGGCAAATTCATTGTAGCAGTACTACAACATGCATGTATTTCAAATTTGGAAAATTAATAAAACTCTCTTCTCCAATTCATTAAGGAAAGTAGAGACATATCTCATTTTTTTGTTTTACAAATTGATTTGGCCGGTAAACGTATTTTCCTGTTTTCCTTTCCCAAGTTTTCCAGCATTTTTTTCAGTCTACACGTTTTCTAGTTTTCCTTTTTCCAGTTTAATTTGTAGTTTTCTGAAAAACTTGAATACATCATTGTTAGTAAACAAGTCCTTAAAGATTGTTCAAGTTTTGGTGTATTCAATATTATAAACTTCTAAATGTCTAAAACAGTCTAGTTGTATCGAATGTATACATAAAAAATTCTAAAAAGTCTAGCTAGCTAGGTGTATTCAAACTTTTGAGAAAATTTCTAGCGATATGAGTATAACAGGTGGTGATTTCTAAAATATGGTGACTAGCTATATTTTATTCACGAATCAGTGGTGTCTTGGGGTAATTTCTAAAAATACGGGAATGTTGTGCCGACATGTCCATTTACGGGGTTTTTTGACCGCTTTCCAAAAAAGCGAGAAACAGCAATACAGAGGCTGAACTTAAAAATCGGATTTTTTATCCCATTTACAAATAATACTACGTATGGTAGTTTCGTTACTACACGAGATTTAAGAATTTAATTAACAAAGGGCACCTCATTGGTGCTGTTTTAAAAGGTACGGAGTAGTCTGATGGCATCACTGCTGATCTCCCAAAGAAGAAGTCGCAGATTCGAGTCTCATCCCAATCAAAGATGTTGGCATTAATAAGAGTCTCTTCCAAAGAAGAAGTCGCAGATACTATAATAGGTTTAGAAGAAGAATGATCCAAAAAAAAGGTACGGAGTAGTAAATATTTGTAGTGTCATGGTGAAGATTTAGTAAATGATACTCCCTCCGTCCCTAGTAAAAATTGTGTGGTAGAAATTTGTGAGAGGAGAGAGAATAAACTGATACCACAAATTCTTTACATAAAAGGGAAAGTGACAAAGTTAATGAACATCCAAAAAAGGAAAATTGACAAAGTTATCAGGAACAAATGGAGTATAACTTATTGAAGTCACACCCAAACTTTTTTGAAATTGGAGTAAAAAAAATTTGAAATTCCAAAATAAGATTGTCATATTTTTATTCTTTAAAGGAAAAAATAATATAAATACTCCAAACTTTGAAGGGGTGTGAGGTAAACACTCTAAACTTGTATATGTAATTTAAATACCCCAAACTTTATATAAAAAATTATTTTCGCACCATTGTCATGTATTATTTCTTTCAAAAATGTAAATTTTTGAGGTTAGTTGCATAATTTAAAATAGCAAATTAAAAGTGTTGCAATTATATAGATTAACGGTAACATTATTTATTTCGCAATGGAAGTTTAGAATGTTAATCGTATCTTCATGAATTCTAAGATATTTTAAATTATGCAATAAAGATTACAGATCATAAATTTACATTTTTGAATGAAATAATACTTTCCTGTGGTGCTAAAATAACTTTATACTCCGTATATAAAATTTGAGGTATTTAAATTGCAAAAAAAAGTTTGGGGTGTTCATCTCACACCACTTCAAAGTTTGAAGTTTTTTAATTATTTTTCCTTTCTCTAAATAAGAGTAATCACTGTAATTAATATACATAACATCAATTAACAAATTTATTAACAAAATAAAGAAAACAATTTATTATGTAAAATATTTTAATACATTTTTTGAAGAATAAAAATACTTTAATACAATAAGAATAATAAATTTAAAGGAGACATTAGTTAAAGAAACTCATAACCTCAAATTATGCTAAAAATGAACAATTACTTAATTACTTTGTTGTGGGATTTCAAATGGGTATGCGTGCCTTATATAGGCTTATACCCTAACAAAGAGGGTTTATCTAGCATTCTAGCTTCTAGCTTTTGACATATGTACCCTGTATTGCAGACCAAGGAGAGAGGTCATCTAAAATCCCGTATTTTCGACCATGAAAAGGGGTTTACCTATTTTGGGAACGAGAACGGAAAATTCCCGTTAATTCGTCATTCTCTCGGTGTCTTGTATGTATGGTAACTCTTTTGATGTTATTTTTTTCCCTTCAATTAATTTTATTACTCTCTATTATTTGGACGTTAATGTGTAACTGTTATTTCATCGCAGAATAATATGCAACACTTTGAACATCAATTTCCAATACATATAACGTAAAGATGCATCGTTTAAAAGTTTGCACAATATATAAGTACAGTTTCTACAAACAGATCCGCCCCTTAAATATATATTTTGAATCAAATAAAAGAGACATTCCCATGAAGAGAAAGAATGAATCTGGAGCATCGAATTTATGATATAATGACTCTAAATATGTAAAAGAAATCCATTAAATTGAATGAAAATGCGGTTGCAATTTCATAAATAAATAGAAGTTTTTTCATTGCAAAAGGTTCACATCTAGTATGTAATACTCCCTCCGTCCCGCTAACAATGGGATAAAAGGGAGTGACACGCAAATTAATAAAAAGTGGTTTATGTGGTTGATATTGAATTGATAAAGTAAGAATAAAGGAAGAATGATTTAGAGCCACACAAATTTTACCAAAATTGGTATGAGACAATCTTAGTGGGACGGACCGATAAGGTAAAATGAGACAATCATAGCGGGACGAAGGTAGTAGTGTACTGAATGATCAAAAGTGAAGTTATTCGCATTTTGTACATAACTAAAAGTAGATGACGAAAATAATATGAATATAAAAGTTCTCTTGAATGATGAAAAGTGAAGTTATTCGCATTTTGTA